GTGCATTTGTAATTTTAGCGATTATGAAAAAGGTTCGTAATGTCTTGGTGCGATGCCAAAATCTGAAAGCAACCAGGCGTAGCTCCCTTAGCTGCGTCAGTAAATTTTTCATTTTGCCTGTTTAATGTAAAATTGCGTCAAATGGGTTTTCAAGTCACTTGATTTCGACATTGCTGCATTGCCTGTCAGAAAATTCGATCGGCGATGATATTCATGGTCATTCCAGGAGTTGTGACTAGAACTTGTTTCACATTAAAAATTGTTCTGTAGGGCTGCTATACATTGTAGAGCAGGAAGAGATGAACTGGAGTGGGTTTTTGTCAAATTTTTATAATTTGATGTGAACTACTCAAGCTGTTGCTTCAATCGGGTTGTCTTTTATTTTTTTCCTTAAACTTCACATTTGCTATCTACTAATAATGCAGATTGCAGATGTTAAGTTTAAGATAAGTGAGTACTAACTGAAAAGTGAAAGTTGTCGGGACCAAAGTAGCACTTGTATCTATTTTACTGAAACGAAGCAGATAATTACTTATGTATTTGACTATGAACTATCCAGGAAGTGCATGCTGGTGCAAATCGAAGAAATTACAGATGTTCTTTTGATCTGTTTACTTGGGCTTCTATTATTTATGATAAAGGAGAGCGTGATAAATTGGAACTCTGGAAAGGAGAAATTACCCGTTTCACTTATCTTTTTCTCTCTTTTTATATGGGAAATCTCCTCGTGTTTAGTCTTTTCCTGTCATGTTCCTTTTCTTGACCTTTTTACTGTCCTTGAAGCGGATTATACTGTGCAAATTTATCCTTTTGGCTTATTGGTTCATTTTTACCTTCTTAAATTTCTTTTTGTAGTTTTGCTATCTTATGTTGGGACTTGAAAAAAGAAACTCTTTTTCCTTCGGTAAATTTCATTTTTAAGTGAGCTGGTTTCTTATGTTTTCTCCCTGTTTTTGTATTTTCCTTATAATGATTACCAGGACCGCGTATGATGTAAGTCTGAATGATGCAAGCTGGCCAGTTGACGTCTTTGATATTATCAGTGGTGAAACTTCAAAATCGTGGGAAAGACTTGATGCGTAAGTGACACCATTTATTTTGTATTCTCTCCTATATGCAATGAAATCCTCCATTGGTTTTTTCTGCTGCTAACACATTTCCCATGTTTGGCAGTGGTGCTCATCTATCTCATTCTTTTGAGTTAGAAGCAAAAACAAAAGGAATGTTCCATGGTTCACCCGCTGTTATCACATTCCGCGTCCCTACAAAATCCGCTTTACAGGTAAAATATCTGATCAACGATGGTTATGTTCTGATTGCTTAAAGATGCAGACGTTTTATCGTTTTTCTGGATATCTGTAGGAGGCCTACTCAACCCCAATACTACCTTTGGATGTCCTTGCCGACAGGCCACCGGAGAAGAAGTTTGAGTGGGTAAGTTAATCCAAACAATTTTCTTTTCTCGTTTGAAGCTTAATGGTTGATTTACTAATTTGGTTAACTGGTGAAATTTTGCCTTTGCATGAAATTTATCCTTCACTGGCGCATAATTTCAACAGGTTAAGGTACGATCAATTTCATGTATCCATCTTGATTCTTTGTCATTCTGATCAATGTCTTTTTAATTGACCCAATACTTCTTTCACCCTGCAGAGGCTGCTCGCAAAGTACGGCTCCCTGATCTCGGTGGTCTCCATTGTAGTTCTGTTCATCTATCTGGTGGCGTCCCCATCGAAATCTGCCGCAAAAGGAAGCAAGAAGAAGCGTTAATTTAAGAAAGAGATTGGGAGATGATTCCTTCAATAGTAGTTTGAAGTTTAACTGTGTTTGTACTTTTGATCCCCCACCCAAATTCTCAGGATGTTTCCCTGATATTTTGTTGGGTTAGCAAAGGTATAGAAACTTTTTGAATTGATAGTTTTTCTTCACCCCTAATGAGGTAGAGCCAGAGGAGACAGGAGTTTAATCGTAGTTGAGTTGGGGCACAATAGTAGTTGAGTTGGTCGTTTATTTAAAAAAAGTTATGTCGGATTTGTTCATCATATAACTGAGTTATTTCTTCTTTTTTAGCCATGAATCTGATTTTCATTTTCTTTGCCTCCAATTTCCTTAGGAATTCCCAAGTTTCATACCCAAATATTTGGTTTTTGTCGCTGATCTTAGAATGGAATTTTGTTTTAATTTTTTATTGTCAAGTTTTTGGAACATTGAACTTAAGTTTCAAGCTATTTATTTATACATACCTTAACCTGGAAAGTCTGTGGTGTGAAAAAAGTTTTGTATTGGATATCTATCGGAGATCTCAGGTTGATTAAAAACTTAGATATCTAATGGAAGAATCAATCCGAGCTCAGCTCATGTGGATAGGGGTGTTCACGGGTTGGGTTGGGTCAGGTCAGGAGAGGTTTTGTGACCAACTCAAACTCAAATTTTCGGGTTGGCTATATATAGGAACTATGATGATCAATTCAATCTTATCCAATATTTTCAAGTTGGGTTGGGTTGTTAGGTTGTGTGTGTGTGTTTTTTTTATTTTTAAATATCGTAACTTAAGGCTTTATCATGGGTTGGGTTCATCGGGTTTTTTGAATACTCAAATAAATTTAGGAAACAAGATAGTGATTGAAAATTATAAAGTTTAAAAATTTTAAATAACATGTAGATTTAGAAATTTCAAAATTTGTAAGATAAAATCAATGCATGCTTTGAAATCAAAAAATATTAAGATTGAATCAAAATGTAAAATAGATTAAAAAAACGTAAAATCAATTTAGAAAAGTGGAACATGAATAAAAAATAATATTGAAAGTGTTGTTTTTAAAAATATGGAGGGAATAGTTGCATTGCAGAGGATGAGAATTAATACCGTGTTAGAATTCATTATGGAAGAAGGCAACCGAAAGGACTCCTAGAATCAAAATCCCTTGAAATATACCAAACGGCGTTCAAGGGATACTATCTCACTGCCTTCACCGGAAAAATCTACCTCACTCCTTCTTCGTCGATAGTTTCCTTCTTCCATGAGCCCTAACTCCTTCTTCGAAAATTAATACCCCCTCAAGATACCACCCCAAATATCCCAAAATTGCAACAAACGACGTACCACTATAACCCCTCACCAAAACTCTTCGCATCAAATTAATACCCCCACCAAATTTCCTTACCTCACTCCATAATTGTAACAAAATCCTTTCCAAAAACGCACTCCCAAACACTAACTCCTTCCAAACGGCACCCCACTCCAAACACTAACTTCTTCCAACATGAAATCAGAGGGAGTACATTAGGGTCCA